TTCCAAGATTTCTGCCAAAGAAGAGATTGGTACCATGTTTAGACCTGGCAGTCGCAGATTTCTGCCAAGAAGAGATTGGTACCATGTTAAGACCTGGCAGTTGCAGATTTCTACCAAAAAGAGGATTGGAATACATGACCATGAGACCAACATATCCGTGTGATCGTTTCTTCCTCAGAATCTTCACAATCATAAAGCCACTGATAACACCCGTTTTGTGTTGATTAATCAGATGTCATATGTCCTTAGTGAGCTGTTCATATCTAGGGGCTGCAGATTGCAACACTATAACCGCCAGCCTAGACAGGAATACAAAGGCATGCTAATCGCTGTCTTTGCGCTGTGTATGTCTCATGGCATTGATGGCCATTCCTGTCCAATGCCAGACCCGACAAGCAAGTGGGGAAAACATATCCTGGGGGACACTGTTGGTAGTTTATGCTTCTAGACTGTAACTCTAAGGATGTAGTAATGATGGGAAATCCTAGGTGGTTCCTAGTATGACAAGTGTAACCTCTGAAGGCCAGGTAAATGAGGGAAGCAAGGACAATGTGTGTGTTTAGAATGAACCTTGTTTGTATGAACGATTGCAAGACAAATCCATGGGATGGGAACAAATGTTTGAAGGTGAGAGAGGAGATAGAGTCAGTTGGTGTTTGACAGTGCGAGAGACAGGCTGGTTGAACGGAGTGACTGAGGTGAACTTCGATTGTTAACCAAGGGAGCGAGGACCTGGAATGCCAGGGAATGTCTAAATAAAATTGACTCTGAATTTTTTAACCTTGAGCTATTGTGAACATTTGTGGTACTGTGATCCAGATAAAGATCCCCATGTGAATGGAACATTCAGACTGAAAGGTAACTGAATCTATTGTCTAGCTGTAGTCCTGTCATGGCAGTCAGTAATGAGTGAGTCGTAAATGACCACTGCTGTGGACTGGCAGGCAAGCATGCTAACCCGTTATTACCACAGTTCAGGCAGCAACATGTTTCCAGTTTTGTGTCTAGAATTGTTCAGTGTTGTATCTGGAATTCCATTTCCATATTTCCAGAAGCTCTCTTTTGCCATTTCAACATCTTATTCCATGTCATATTATTTTTCAATGTCTAACTCTCGTTTCCATGTTTCTGTCTTTCTCTGTCTCTTTTATCCTGTGGGTTCCAATTGGCCTCTTTCCATATACCTTTTATCATCATTTTATGCTTCTGACCCCAGATGCAGCCATTCAATCAGAGGGTGTCAAATTTGTCATGTTTTCCCGTGATGAACTCAACTTACAGAGCTGCGTACAGATCACATGCAGTTGCTGTACAGCGTGCCAGGTAGGTCAGCTTTGTCCTGCATTCTATCTGTTCATCAGATAACAAATAAAACTACACAGAGAACTGTTACTCAAATAGTATCTGGACACATGCGTAGATGCACTGATCACTATGGGATCGAGTTGATTTCATTGAAGAACTGACGTCATGTACTCAAGGCATTTCCATAAGCGCTGCATCCCCATCTTCAGCAGCCATCACAAGAGTTCCAGTCAGTATTAAATCACTTAGATCAGTATTAAATTCAGCATAAATTAGATGTGGTGGAATTGTGAATCTGAACAATTAAGCAAAGAAAACACAAGTCCATGGGCACAGCAAATTTACCGTTAAGAGAGACTAATGAAGAGAAACAGTAACTATTCACAGATGGGAAGTTAGTTGTTGCAGCAATGCAGAGCATAAAGAATGACAACAAACAAACCTAAGGACAGCTTGCTATCAACCACTGCATGTGAGAAATCCTAAAGGGTTGTAGCTCAATGGATCCTATTGCAACATACTTGGAAATTAAAAGGCTGACAAACTGGCACAGGAAAGTGGACAACCACTTCAGCTGGATATAGACATAACCTATTGTGAGGTCAAGAGGTTTACAAGAGCCACATATAGAACGAAGAAGGAATTAGAGCATCCATTCCATCCAAAACATAATACAAATCATAGATTCGATCCACAGTGAACAAGTAGAAATCTTCAGAATCCACAGCAGCAAATGAGGCTGGATTAGCACTTGTTTAATACACGAAAGGACGGCTTGGCATTGATTTTCAGTCTTATGGGTGGCCAACTAGTCAGGCACCAGAGGAAAACTACTAAGCATAAAACTGTCTAGTCCAATCTGAAATAGCCCAGAAAATGCTGGGCTGGTACTGCTGTGTCCTGTAGAGGAGACACAACTAACTTAATGAGGCCAGTGGGCCGCCAGTTGAATAGTCGTACTCTGTGTTGATGTCAGCAATTTTAGGGTTGACTTTTGTCTTCTTCTTTAAGTTGACATCTGAAGGTGCAGGTCGAAGGTTGGACATAACACAGTTTTCGTAGCTATTCCCATATTAGAGTTACAAGAAACAGAGGACAATGCGGTGACATGCCTAACTCTGCACTAAAAAGAAGGATAACAAAAAACCACCACAATACAAGACAAAGACTAACACAACATTAAACTAACATTAGGGTGAACAAAAAGTAACGGACCGTTATCCACACCCTTGGGCATATTGGATATATAAGGCTAGAGCCGTATTTTATAGAACAATGGGAACTCTGTGTTGATGTCATCAACATCACACTGGTCACCTTTACTTCCCAGGACTTTACCTTTTACCCATTTTTAGGGTGGCTCGACCTGGGAGCCAGTGTTATTTCGGGAAAAATCCAGCTTGATGGGGATTTGGCCCTACAACCTTCTGTCTCAAGGCGAATGTCTAGCTGTGCCATGGTGGCTGCTACATCAGAGTATTATTTTATGATATTAGATAAGCTCAGTTTATCCAAATGTGTGTCTTCTTCCATTCTCTTCCTGTTTCTCTTTTACACAAATCTTTCCTGTTGTCACGTCCTCTGTTTCTCTTTAACACAAATCGCTCTAGCTGTATTGAAATGTCTCAAAGCTCGTAATGCTTGTAACACATTTTTGTTTTCTTGCTCCGACGTGATATTCCTCCTCCATAACCATATTTTTAAAGTTTCATTCTGACTTTTAACCTTGTCTACCATTCTGACTTTTAACCCTGTCTACCATTCTAAATTTTTACCTTGTCTAACATTGTGAATTTTTACCCGGTCTAACATTGTGACTTTTTACCCTGTCTAACATTCTGACTTTTTACCCTGTCTAACATTCTGATTTTTTTTTTACCCTGTCTAACATTCTGACTTTTTACCCTGTCTAACATTCTGACTTTTTACCCTGTCTAACATTCAGACTTTTTACCCTGTCTAACATTCTGATTTTTTTTTTACCCTGTCTAACATTCTGACTTTTTACCCTGTCTATCATTCTGACTTTTTACCCTGTCTAACATTCAGACTTTTTACCCTGTCTAACATTGTGACTTTTTAACCCTGTCTAACATTCTGACTTTTTACCCTGTCTAACATTGTGACTTTTAACCTTGCCTTACATTCTGACTTTTTACCCTGCCTAACATTCTGACTTTTTACCCTGCCTAACAAACATTTTTTTCTTGACCTTTCTCATGTGTCCTCAGATCTGGAGTAATCACCAACACAGCAAAATCGCTGGATATTCTTCGACAAAACTTGCAGCGCAGCATCAACAAAGAGATTACAGAGATCATCAAGAGATACACAGATGTAAGAGCATAGTTGGATTATGTTAGTGCCACTTTTGAATATGGAGCCGCCATTGTGTAGCGGCTAGACGCTTACCTGCGGAACAGAATGTTGTGAGTTCGGGTCCTGAAAGAGCAGTGCATTGGTCAAAAATGACCTTGGCTTCCAGGTTGTCCTAGCCATAAGCTGGTACCAGGTTAAGTCCTGGGAAGTAAAGGCAGCCAGCCTGGTGTTGACCACATCACCCAGTGAGCACCGATTGGGCTATAAAATATAGGTCTAGCTTTCTGTGCCCAGTACGCCTAAAGCATGGAAAAGAGGTTCTTTTTAAAAAAAAATCTTTTTTAAAATAATGTAAACTTTTGTGTTTGAAAATAAGAGTGCGGAAGTGGTGCAGTAGCTGCGTACCTTGCCTGCTAGCCCCATGTGGTAAACCCAGTCTAACATAGATACCAGGAAAATATCTGCGAAGTAAAAGTGGCTGATAGGAAATGGACCACATACCCACCATGGGCTAGTTGGTATAAAACTCGGTCTACTACTATATTCTGGTCACTGTCTGTGGATTCAGAGTTGTGAATGCAGTTTCACAATCTTAGAATACAAGTTTGAAGTCAGCTAAAGACAGTTTGTTAACAGAGAGGATTGCGTGGATTTTGACACTTTTAGACTAACCTAGTTTCAGCTTCTCATTTTCTTGTTGAGACTTTATGATACACGGAAAATGGCCATTAAAAAAAAACAGAAAACAACTGCCATTACTGCCTGCAGTGTGGGCAGGGGGTCTGAGCTGGAGGATTTACGGCTGCATGGATAGTGCTGTCACCACGTACCGTGCAGGTTATAATTGCCTTTTTAACCCCTGGCCAAAAAAAAAAACCCAACCTTACCGAGGATTCAGACCTGGGTTTTCTGCATTAGAGCACAGCATTCTTAATGGTTCGGCGAGCTGCTGCTGAAGAGAGAGTGGCAAATGTTTTGTTTACTGAAGTCGTCTTCCATCTGCTTATTCCTATCATCTATCCTTGGAACAAAGGCCCTAAGCGAACTCATGCCAGGGGCTAGTCAAGCCAAGAGACATGGTTACATGTCTGTTCTCCTACCAGTCTATACCAAACATGTGATAGAATTGTCCAAGACTGGCAAGATTGTGCAGCTGACGTTTTCAGCAGGATGAGAATTGCTGCCTCTCAGAAGAGCATTGTAGATTTTATTGTTACTGTCAGGTCCATACTTCACATCATTCATATAGTCAGATTTGATTTCCATGACATAGGATTTTTTTTTTTTTTTAATGGACTGTTCTCATGGCTTTCCTGTCTCTGGTGCAAGTCATACGGTGGAAGAGTTGGGGATTTTGACACATAGTATTCCCACACAGAAGTGGATGCACTGCAGCCAAACTTCATAGCAGCGACGGCACACTATTTTATTCTGTAGCTCAGTACACAAGGGTGATTACTGCTTGGAACACAAGGGGGATTACTGCTTGGTACACAAGGGTGATTACTGCCTGGTACACAAGGGGGATTACTGCTTGGTACACAAGGGTGATTACTCCACGATACACAAGGGTGATTACTGTGTGGTAAGCAAGGGTGAATACTGCACAGTACTACACAAGGGTAAATACTGCTTGGAACACAAGGGGGATTACTGCTTGGTACACAAGGGTGATTACTGCCTGGTACACAAGGGGGATTACTGCTTGGTACACAAGGGTGATTACTCCACGATACACAAGGGTGATTACTGTGTGGTAAGCAAGGGTGAATACTGCACAGTACTACACAAGGGTAATTACTGCACGGTACGCAAGGGTGATTACTGCTTGGTAGACAAGGGTGATTACTGTGCGGTACACAAGAATGATAAATGATCCATACACAAGGGTGATTACTGTGTGGTAAGCAAGGGTGATTAGTGTGCAGAACTACACAAGGGTAATTACTGCATGGTATGCAAGGTGGATTACTTTGCAGCACGCAAGGGTGAATACTGTGCGGTATGCAAGGGTGATTACGGCGCGGTACACAAGGGTGATTACTGCGCGGTACGCAAGGGGGATTACTGCGCGGTACACAAGGGTGGTTACTGCGCAGTATGCAAGGGTGATTACTGTGCGGTACACAAGAGTGATTAATGCTCCGCACACAAGGGTGATTACTGTGTGGTAAGCAAGGGTGATTACTGCGCAGTACTACACAAGGGTGATTACTGCATGGTACGCAAGGGTGATTACTGCTCGGTACACAAGGATGATTACTGCGCGGTACACAAGAGTGATTACTGGTCATTACTTCTTTTTTCCGGAATGTTAGCTTACTCACAGAAAGCAAAGGCCTACTGTTGCTATTGTTTTTATTATTCTGTTAATTGTTCTTATTTTCCACTTGAGTTTTTTTATAAACTGGGTACACAAAATTTAATTATTCCAGAAATTTTTCCAACCTGCCCTGGAGAATATAAAGCAGAACACCAATGAGAATTTTATCGGAGATGAACATATAAACTACGTCTGTCGCCAGATCCTTGAAGAGGTAATTGTGATCATTGTAACGACTGCAGTCGGATATGACATTAGAGCTAAAGAGCTGTTTGTAAGCATATATTGTGAAAATACGATGAGCTCCATTTTGTGAATTAAGATGGATTGGTTAGGATGTTGAGTTGATTCTCAACTGATATTGAGTTAGGTCTGCTTATCATCATCATCAGTTCTCGTTATGCCTAGTGGCACATGAGGCTTCAGAGAGGACTTTCCATGCTTTCCTGTCCTGTGCAATCTTCAGTGCAGTTTTCTATGTCAAAGATGCGGCACTCAGGTCACTTTCCATCGTTCGCCTCCATGTTGTTTTTGGGCGCCCCTGTTTTCTCTTTCCCTCTGGTGTCCACGTGAGAGCTGTTTTGGCAGGTATATCAGAAGTCATTCTCATAACGTGGCCAAGCCATTTCCATCTTCTCTTGGTAATCATACTGTCTAAAGTTTCTTGGTTTGTGGTCTTGAAGTAGTTTAGTGTTTGAGATTGTATCTGGCCAGAAAATTTTGATAATTCTACGTAGACATGTGTGGTGGAAGGTGGACAGCTTGTGTGCATCCTTTTTGGTCATTCTCCAGCATTCCGCTCCATAAAGAAGAACTGGCAAAATTATGCACTTGTAGAGTCGGAGTTTCGTTCCTCTGCAGTAATTGTTGGATTTCCAGATTTGCCTCATCCTTCCAAAAGCAGCTCTAGCTTTGTTCAGACGTGATTGTATGTCTTTCTCTGTCCCTCCCAATAGGGACACCACACTGCCAAGATATGTGAAATGTTCTACATTTTCAAGTGATTGGTTACTTATGGTCACTGGTTATTGGTTTGGACTGTTTGTCATGATCTTAGTTTTCTTTGTATTTATTCTCAGTCCCACCATTTCTGCTGTGCAGTTTAGTCTGTTACTTTTCTCTTGTATATGTTCATGTTTTTGTGATAGGAGTGCTATATCATCTGCAAAATCAAGGTCCTCAAGCATGGTGAATGGAGTCCATCGTATGCCTCTTAATGTCCTGTTTGCTGTGTTCTTTAGTATCCAATCAATCACAAGATTGAAGAGGAGAGATGACATAACACATCCTTGTCTTACACCCGTCTTTACTGGGAAAGATGTATTGTAATTTTTTATACTGCAGGAAAAGTCTTTATAGAAGAGAGCAATTATGTTGACTATTTTTTCTGGAATTCCATAATGTCGTAAAATTTTCCACAGACCGTCTCTATGGACGCTGTCAAAAGCTTTCTCAAAGTCCACAAAATTAATATATATACTTCTCTGCCATTCGTTGCATTGTTCTAAAATGTTACATATTGCGAAGATGTGCTCAGTTGTTCCTCTGCCCTTTCTGAATCCTGCTTGTTCCACTCGTAGGCATTTATCTACTCCTTTTTCAAGCCGCATTGTGCTGATTTTACAAAATATTTTGCTTGGTACTGAGAGTAGAGTAATTCCCCTCCAATTATTGCAGTCTGTTAAGTCTCCTTTTTTGGGGATTTTGACTATTGTTCCTTCAGTCCAGTCATCAGGCAACACTTCTTTTTCCCAAATATCCTTGAACAATCGTTCTAGAATGCTAGCAGTTGTGTTGGGATCTACTTTGAGAAGTTCTGCTGGCAGTTCGTCTTTGCCTGGTGCTTTGTTGTTCTTTAAAGTGTGGATAGCTTTAAGGATTTCTTGTTTGCTTGGTGGTTCAGTAATAATGTCAATGTCCTAAGAGGCTGGTCGAATATCTGGGGGATTTTCAGGATCAGATCTGTTCAAGAGGTCGGAGAAGTGTTTAGTCCACTGCATGTCTTGTTTTTGTTCTGTGGTGAGCAGTCTGCCTTGGTTATCTCTGATGGGTATGCTGTGATAATTGTTTCTGTTTCCGCAAATTTGCTGGGTAATTTTGTGTAGGGTTTGTAGATCATGTGCTTTAGCGGCATTTTCTGCTGTTTCTGCAAGATTTTCCATAAATCTTCTCTTGTCAGCTCTGGCACTTTTCTTGGTCATTTTATTTAGTTTGCTATATTCTAACATTAGTTTGTCTTTCTGACGTTCTGATTTAGTGTGATTTATGAGGCTCTTTATTCTTTTTTGCTTGGCAATATAGTCCATGGTTTGACTACTTGTCCATTCTTTGTGGTGTTGTTTCCTGGTTCCTAATATGTTATTGCTAGTTGATTTGCTTTTCATGGCAGTGTATATTGCACTGTGGAATGGGTCTGTTTGAATGTATGTGTAGGAAGTTAAAGATATAGATAAGGGATAGGAAAAGTTTTAAAAAAAAACAACCTTTTCCACACCTTTAGGAATATAGGGCTGGACCTGTTGTTTATAGATCAGTTGCCACTCAGTGGGTGATGCATTCATCATCATGACGACCATCTTTACTTCCCAGGACTACCTGTTTAAGGCTGGGTTGACCTCGGGAGCCAATGTCATTTTGAAAAAAAGTCCGGCTTTGTCAAGACTCAAACCTTACAGTCTGCAGGCAAGCGTCTAGCCACTACACTGCAAGAACCCCTGATAGGGATGAGAGTTTAGTCCTTCATTGTGTTTTATTCCTTGCGGTTTTTTTAAGCATAATGTGCAGAGTCTAGTTTGGCTCTCTGGCACCTCGTACGGCAAGTGATTACTTTCATTCTAGACATTTGTTTCAGTTAACCCTTTCACATTTTGGGTGCAAAAAAAAAACCTGCTAATAAATTCATTGAAATTCCTTGAAAACTTTTTTTTTTCAAATTTATTTATCTGTATTTAAATTATTTTTCTCAAAAAATATTAGATATATATTTAAAAAAAGGGAAATCAATAATCGTGAACAGAGTGAAGCATTAAATGGGATACATTCCCTTGGCTCAAAAGCAATGTGTTTAAACTTACTCATCGTGTTACCTCAATCACTGAGGCTTATGAGAAAATTTGACTTTAGGCTTTAAAAGTAAAAAGCCATTTGGATCTTGATTGATTTGATTCAAGAACCAACATCACAGCACTCGGGGCATTCCCAAAAGCGCTCTGTCTCCATCTTTAGCAGCCAGCGAAGAGTTTGGATCATTGGGATCTAAAGGGAACCTACCTAAATGCTATTTTTAGTGAATATATTCATATCCTAGCCTATTCAACACTATGCAGGAGCACATAGACCAAGTGAATTTGTTTCTACTTTTCAAGAACAGGTCACTACAGACATGGGGATATATCAGCATTTAGGAGACTATGTCACAGCTGGAGGTGACTAGGTTTAGTCTTCTGGGGCCGAGAAGGTGAAGGGAAATTCACTGACAGACATTTGTGTAAGCTAAGGAAATTTTGATGGTAGACATTTGAATAAGTGAAGGGAAACTCAGCAGCAGACATTTGTATAAATTAAAGAACAAGCCATCTCAGTGTTGAATGAACTGGCACACAAGAGCACAGAGAGATGAGGTGAGGTGGCTGGCATCCTTCCTCTCCTAGTACACATTATTTTACTGGTGAAGTTACCATCAAATATATATGTAAATGCATATTTTATTACAGGCAAAAGCTGAATACATGTCTGACTCAGGAAGACGGAGTGTCACCCCTTCCGATATACCAGATAATCTTTCAGATACAGGAAGCCTTGGAGGCAGAAGATTGGTGGGTACTGTTTTTATCCTTGATATCTTTTGCAACTCTTGTTACTGTCATTCTAACCCAGACTGTAGTAATTTGATTCTACCTGACCTTAACCCCACCTTCCCCATGAAAACAAATTCCAGTTGCTACCTGTATTTACCACTTGTCCGGTTTGAGGGTGGAAGTGTCTTTGAGCTAGAGGATTTAGGGCCATGTGGCTGGTGTTGTCATCATGCACTTTGCAGGTTAGGATTTTATTTTCAGCCCTGACAAACAAAATCCTCAACCTCACTGAGGATTTGAACCTGGGTCTCCTACATTATAGCCTTTCGTTATGAATGGTTTGACCGGCAGTTCCTCCAGCCAGTCCTAGACTGTGAAAAATGTTTTATTCAAATCTCTGTTGCTACTTTGACTACCTCTTTCTCTTTGATGGCTGAGGGTGTTGAAGGAGCTACAGGGTTCTGGTTTTAGCTCTTCTGCCAGCACCTGCCTTGTTAGTCTAGGTTGAGATTTTTAAATCTCAGGATGATCTGGTAAACCTCTAGGTATCAGCCTGGAGGGGACAAACCTATCAAACGATCTCTCTCACCCCCGTGTGGGTTCCGGGGCCCCATTGTAGGGGAAAACAAGAATAGACCCACTGCCTCCCCAAAAGCATGTCGTAAGAGTTGACTAATTGGGGAGCTTCCTTTGAAGTCGGAATGGATCTGCCGGAGAGGCAAGGAACCAACAGTCTGTATTCAAGAGAATGAGATCTGTAAAACTGATGCACATGCAACACTCAGGTTCTGGAGCAGGACTGCAGTTCAGTAGTGGACGAGCAACCAGAACTTTCCGCCAGAGTTTACAGCTGGTGAACGCGAAGAAGAAGAAGAAGAAGAAACGATCTCTCTGTTACAATGACAGCTATAGGTAAGAGAGGTAATGAACAAATCTTTAAATATAGTTTTTAGCATGAGCTGACTGAGGGTTTATTTTCGAGAGATGCAATGAAGAAGAAGATAGACGAGGCAGACATTTTGAAGACCATTTATGATTGAATGCTGATGTAAGATACGAAGATAGATGAAACGACATGTGTAAGGTTGCATGAGTGTGAAATCAAATGTAGATCAAGCAAGAAAGAACATATAAGTGGAGCAGTACGACATATATACAACCAGTCTCCCATAGTGACAGTCAACCTCTACATCTTAAAACATCTGCTGTAGGAGATGGAGCATTTTTGGGTTTGCCTTGTGTTCTGTAATGTTGATTGTTAAATCCTGAATCTTCTGGCCACTTGAACCCTAGATGCTTAGTAATGTTGTAGAGTTTCTCTGATGTTATTGTTTCACTTTGTTAGTGGTCTGCCTAAGACTGATTCACGTCTGTTTTATGATTCTTGTCTACTTCTCTATTCTCATTTTCGAATTCTCTTCGTTTTTTTCTGATTTTTGTCTATTTTCTCCTCCTTTCTCATTAAAGTAAAATTCATTAAACAGTTTTAAAATATAGTCCCCTCTGTAATAGTCAGAGAGCGAACATTCTCTTGTGAATGAATTGATTAACTTTGATGTGTAGTTTCGCGTCTGTATGTTTGAAATCTGTGATTACTGTTCCAGTTTATGAAGAGAAGTCGTGTGTCAGACAGTGATTCTGAGAAAGGCAGTGATGGGGGCTTCAAGAGAAAGTTGGCTAAGGTGATTTTTGTGTGTGTCTCATATGATTTTCTTAACCCTAAATTTATCCTGTGTATCTTTACTTATTTCTTTGTCTCCTTTGTCTACAGTGACCCATGAAAGGATGGTTGTTACTGTTTGTTGTATTTTACAGCTAAACTGCTACTGTGTCTTTGCCTTTAAGCACAGCATGTTCAGTTGAGCTAATGCCTAATTAGTTGGCTATTGTGACATGCTTGTTAAGAGGCAAACCCCCCGCCCCCCTCCCTCCAAGAGACACCACCACCCACTCAGGGATCTTGTCTTATTTGATGTCTGATCATGTTAGCTAAAGGGATTTTTCTTTTTTCTTTTTTTTTTAGTTTTGTTGTGTTCTTATCTTACGTGATATTTTACTTCTTATTTTATTTACAATGAATTTCTTCTATCTTTTGTAAACTTCATGAGAATGGAAAGACTGGGTAATGTTATGACAACCAGAAAGTTGCAGGGGACAAGAAGTAGGATGAGGCGGAGGGAGAAGATGTTTGGCATCATATTGGGCAAGGCATTTGTGTAAAACATAACAGCACATGTGAGGGTTGGTTTCTTTGCCAGTGGCGTACTTGTACTAACTCTTTTCAAGAACAGGTCACTGAAAACATGTCCATAAATCAGTATTTACAGGAACATAGCACAACTGGCAGTGACTAGATTTCATCTTCTCGTGGCGATAGGATTATGAAGAAGATATTCTATTATCTCTGTTTATTTGTAATTTTTCCTATCTTTTGTATGTGAACTTTAAATGTATTTAATTTTAATTTCCAACAGAAGAAAGGAAGACCTGTTTTCCACAGTTCTGGGTGAGTAATGATTGTCTGTGGTGACTATTTCTGGGGTTTTTACCAGTGTGATGAGTTTGTTCTCAGGAATGTGTGTGGTGACTATTTCTGGGGTGTTTACCAGCTTGATGAGTTTGCTCTCAGGAATGTGTGGTGACTATTTCTGGGGTGTTTACCAGCTTGATGAGTTTGTTTTCAGGAATGTGTGGTGACTATTTCTGGGGTGTTTACCAGCTTGATGAGTTTGTTCTCAGGAATGTGTGGTGACAATTTCTGGGGTGTTTACCGGCTGGATGAGTTTGTTCTCAGGAATGTGTGGTGACTATTTCTGGGGTGTTTACCGGCTGGATGAGTTTGTTCTCAGGAATGTGTGTTGACTATTTCTGAGTTGTTTACCAGCTTGATGAGTTCTCAGGAATGTCTGTGGTGACTATTTCTGAGTTGTTTACCAGCTTGATGAGTTCTCAGGAATGTCTGTGGTGACTATTTCTGAGTTGTTTACCAGCTTGATGAGTTCTCAGGAATGTCTGTGGTGACTATTTCTGAGTTGTTTACCAGCTTGATGAGTTCTCAGGAATGTCTGTGGTGACTATTTCTGAGTTGTTTACCAGCTTGATGAGTTCTCATGAATGTCTGTGGTGACTATTTCTGAGTTGTTTACCAGCTTGATGAGTTCTCAGGAATGTCTGTGGTGACTATTTCTAGGGGTGTTTACCACCTCAATAAGTTTATTTTTAGGAATTTGTGGTGAATTTACTGGTGTGAAAATGACTAACTGATGACAATTGTGATTTGTGATAAATGCTTGTTTTGTTTGATGTTTCCTGATTTGAGAGAATATTTCTCTCAGTAAAGCACGCTAAGTTTTGGGACAGCTAGCTCCCCTTTTACAGCATAAGGCAATCCCAGTCACCAAAGAGAAACATCTCATTTCCACCCTATGCTACCAGTGCCAGACGTGGTCATTCACAACAAAGCATACAAGAAAATTAATAACTGTGGAAATGAGGTGTCTAAGAAAGACTAGGAGTAACAAGAAAAGATAAAATCAGGAATGAGGTCATACGAGATTAACTCGGCACAGAATCAATTCTAAGTTACATACAGAGACAGCAAATCAAATGGTTTACCCACTTTGAGAAAATGCCTTCTGATGCAGTACCATACAAAGCATATACTAAAAGAGGAAAAGGACGTAGAGCAAGAGGTAGACCAAGAAGATATAGGAAGATAACAGCAAAGAAACTCTGCAGCACTTTGATGCGTCTGTGATCAGTTATTTATGATTGATTGTGATTACTTTGTTGACCTGACTGTTTGTTTGTCCATGATTGTCTGGTGTGGAGGATTATTTAAGGTTATTTGCGATGACTGATGATGTCAGAAAAATCAGTCTGCATTATCATAAAACTACACATCCAGAGGAACTGCACAAAATCCTTTTAAAAGATTGTAATTTTTGTAAACTGACACTGTAAAATAATGATGTGCTGTAACTGAGTAAACTGTCATGCGGATAGCAGAAATTAATTTAGACTGCAATGTTGAATTAAAAAATATTGTAGAACTATGAATTCATTGTCATGAGCTGTGCTCTTGTCATTTTTTTTTTAGGAGAGTCACACCATCCAAGACTTTCAAATCTGGGGAACCGATCAAGCGTGAAGGCCCTAAGGTAACAATTGATATCACTGTTTACACCACACTGTGTTTCTGCTGAAGCATCACTGTGTAGATCACTGACTTCTAGGAACTGCTTTCTGCCGTGAGTTGAATTCTGTTCCACCTCTTGTCCCTTGTTGCAGCAAGCACACCAGGGCAGAGATTCAGATAATATGGAATTCTGCTACTCCTCCTCTTACTTACTTGCTTAGTCGCTCCTCTTCTACCTTGGGGTGTAGAGGTTTGCCAGAGAAATCGCCAGACATCTCTATCAGCAGTTTTCTTTCTGGCTTTGTTCCATTCCAGTCCTCTGTCAGTTAGGGACTGTCGGATGTTGTCTTCCCAGCACACTCTGGGTCATCCTGGAGGTCTGGTTCCCTGGTTCTTAGCCTCCCATGCCTGCCATGGTGGCCGATTTTCTCCCATTCTGCATACATGTCCAAACCATCGTAACTGTGACTGATCCTCACAGGTTTGTAAGGACTGGGTATCAAGATCTTGACGTATTGTCTGATTGCGGACTTTGTCTCTTCTTGTCACTTGGACCACCTTTCTCAGATATCTCATTTCCGAGGCCTGCAGCTGGCTTCTGTGAGGTTTTGTCATTGCCCATGACTCACACCCATAGGTCAGGCCTGGTACATAGGTAGAGCTGTAAACAGCCATTTTCGTCCTCTTGCCAATTTCTCTTTTGCTAAGAAACCCTCGGTTTATGGCCTGAAAGAGTCTCCCAGCAGCTGCTTTTCGTGTAGCCAGCTCAGTCTTAATGCCTCCGTTTCGGTCGAATACAACTCCAAGGTATTTGAACTGGTTAACCTGCTCCAATGCATACTGCCCCATCATGATCTGGTGTTTCTTCTCCTCTCTTGAGATCACCATGGTGCTACTCCTCCTCACAGTATCATACTCTTCTACTTCTTCTGTCTCACAGTGGACAAGAGGGAGAATAACATTAACAGCAGTCTGAGAGAGTGAGTGTACGTTAGGCTGGAAGCCAGAGCACTTTGAAGTACAGTCAGCCAAACTTCCTCATCTTCTTCGTATTCAGCAGCTGAGAATATTAGTCTAGTTGCAGAACTTGAGTTTTGCCTGCACATCCTTTTTACAGATCTGGTTTATTTGTATGCTGGCTGTTGGTTCCTCACCTCTTAGGCAGATGCATCCAGCTTTGAAGGAAACACCTTGATTAGTAGACTTTTAATACATGCTTGTTAGGGAGGCAGTGGATCAGTTCTGGTTTTTGTTAGGGAGGCAGTGGATCAGTTCTGGTTTTTGTTAGGGAGGCAGTGGATCAGTTCTGGTTTTTGTTAGGGAGGCAGTGGATCAGTTCTGGTTTTTGTTAGGGAGGCAGTGGATCAGTTCTGGTTTTTGTTAGGGAGGCAGTGGATCAGTTCTGGTTTTTGTTAGGGAGGCAGTGGATCAGTTCTTGTTTTTGTTAGGGAGGCAGTGGGTTAGTTCTGGTTTTTGTTAGGGAGGCAGTGGATCAGCTCTGGTTTTTGTTAGGGAAGCAGTGGATCAGCTCTGGTTTTTGTTAGGAAGGCAGTGGATCAGCTCTGGTTTTTGCTAGGGAGGCAGTGGATCAGTTCTGGTTTTGTTTTTTGTTAGGGAGGCAGTGGATTAGTTCTTGTTTTCCCCAAAATGGATCCCCAGAACCCATATGGGAATCACCCAAGCCAGATGGCAGGGTCCTTTGTGATTTGAATGATTGATGTGATGTGATATTGTGATGTGATGATGATGACAGTTGTGATATGATGTGATGATGATAACAGATGTGATGATGATGATGATAACAGTTGTGATGTGGTGATGATAATGGTTGTGATGTGATGTGATGATGATAACGGTTGTGATGTGATGATGATGGTGATGGTTGTGATGTGATGATGATGATGATGGATGTGATGATGATGGTGACTTTTGTGATGTTTTGTGATGATGATGATGATGGTTGTGATGTGATGATGATTACGGTTGTGGTGTTGTGAAACTGCTTCTTTTATGCATTAAGAATTTGAAGAGACACACGTCTTTGTAAGTCTTTGTTTACAGACTGATATTGCTAAGATTATCCAAACAGACCCTATGCTCCCTGCTTGCAGGTATACAAACATTAAAGGCAGATATATTTTTTTGTTTTACCTAACATTTAGTGGGATCCAGAACGTTTGAAATTGGATACATTGTTTGTGATGGGAGCTAGAGCAAACAAGTAAGTACATCTTTCTTTCGTTTCTTTCCATTATTTTTCTTTCAAATCTTTCTTTTTCTTTTAATCATTTGTCATTCCTGTTCTGCCGTTAGAAAAAAATTCAAAAACCATATTAGTCAATTCTGTCCCTCAGTGAGACCTATGCCTTAGTAAAGAGGGAGTGGAAAAGGGGGGGGGGGGGGGGGGGTGGTGGAAGGCAGAAAAAGAAAAAGAAATCAGGCTTTTGAATTGAATTGTCACAGAAGCAGCTTAGAATAATGTGTATTAAGAGAAGGAAAATACTGATACTTTACAGCAGGGCTAGTCAAATTAAGTTGACTCTGGGGCCAGAATGTTGAACTTGAGGAACGCCAGGGGCCAGAGGCCTGATCCGCAGCGTAAAACACACACTAATACCTAGGGGCCACTTGCTAGGCCTTTGTGGGCCGCAGTAGGCCCATGGGCTGCCAGTTGAATAGCCCTGCTGTACAAGATTTTAATGTCGACAAGAAGTGGCTCATAAATGGCACCTGACTGAAATAGTGAAGCTGGATAAATCACAGCCCTGGTCTGGACGGTAACTGTTAATCCAAAGTTTTACCATATTCTGTCTCTCTCTCTTTCTCTCTCTCTCTCTCTCTTCTGTCTTGTGTACTGTTAATCATTACTGATACAGCTGTTCTGCCAGGTAAGACCAATCAAACTTCACACAGGCTTTTAATTATCAGTAATTTCTGTTTACAAATGTTTGGCATATTGCTGATGTTTCTTTCTGTAACTTGACAGGGCACTGGGGTTGGGCAACACAAGAGGCAGGCTCTATATAAGGCATCCGGATGTGTTCAAGGTAAGTTCAGCTGTGGAAAGGAACTGATACCCTAAATAATTGGACATATCCTTGGTTTGTTTTAGAGACCAGGAGGACACTTTTGCTATTTAGCTATGTTTACGTGTTGTCCTCTTCCTATCTGGGAGGACATACCAGTTGTTTTGTAATGGTCATGGCAAAGAAATTATATGTCCTTCAAAATACATCACAGTAACTAAGTCCATAAATTAAAGTACTTATTGTCCTGACAACAGAACACGCAAGATGTTTTAAAGAAGTTATATGTAGAATAGATTAAGCAAAAGCAGCATTTCAAATGATAAAGAATATTTTATGCAATCTGTGTAGGTCGAGACAAGAAATGTCTTTAAGATCCACTTAAAACCAGTCCTGGTGTATGGAAGTGAATTGTGGATGACCAGCAAATTAGCAAAAATTCATGTATTTTTTTAAAATTGGAGTGATATCCTGACTGTGTCAAAAAATAGACCCAGAAGTGAAGTTTCCTGACTGTGTCAAGGACAGACCCAGAAGTGTAAAGTCCTGACTGTGTCAAGGACAGACCCAGAAGTGTAAAGTCCTGACTGTGTCAAGGACAGACCCAGAAGTGTAAAGTCCTGACTGTGTCAAGATTAGATCCAGTAGTGTAATGTCCTGACTGTGTCAAGATTAGACCCAGTAGTGTAATGTCCTGACTGTCAAGATTAGACCCAGTAGTGTAATGTCCTGACTGTGTCAAGATTAGATCCAGTAGTGTAATGTCCTGACTGTGTCAAGATTAGATCCAGTAGTGTAATGTCCTGAATGTCAAGATTAGATCCAGAAGTGTAATGTCCTGACTGTCAAGATTAGATCCAGAAGTGTAATGTCCTGACTGTGTCTGTCAAGATTAGATCCAGAAGTGTAATGTCCTGACTGTGTCAAGATTCGATCCAGAAGTGTAATGTCCTGACTGTCAAGATTAGATCCAGTAGTGTAATGTCCTGACTGTGTCTGTCAAGATTAGACCCAGTAGTGTAATGTCCTGACTGTGTCAAGGACAGACCCAGAAGTGTAAAGTCCTGACTGTGTCAAGGACAGACCCAGAAGTGTAAAGTCCTGACTGTGTCAAGATTAGATCCAGTAGTGTAATGTCCTGACTGTGTCTGTCAAGATTAGACCCAGTAGTGTAATGTCCTGACTGTGTCTGTCAAGATTAGATCCAGTAGTGTAATGTCCTGACTGTCAAGATTAGATCCAGTAGTGTAATGTCCTGACTGTGTCAAGATTAGATCCAGTAGTGTAATGTCCTGATTGTCAAGATTAGATCCAGTAGTGTAATGTCCTGACTGTGTCAAGATTAGATCCAGTAGTGTAATGTCCTGACTGTGTCAAGATTAGATCCAGTAGTGTAATGTCCTGACTGTGTCAAGATTAGATCCAGTAGTGTAATGTCCTGACTGTCAAGATTAGACCCAGTAGTGTAATGTCCTGACTGTCAAGATTAGATCCAGTAGTGTAATGTCCTGACTGTCAAGATTAGATCCAGAAGTGTAATGTCCTGTGTCAAGATTAGATCCAGTAGTGTAATGTGCTGACTGTCAAGATTAGATCCAGAAGTGTAATGTCCTGACTGTCAAGATTAGACCCAGTAGTGTAATGTCCTGACTGTCAAGATTAGACCCAGTAGTGTAATGTCCTGACTGTGTCAAGATTAGATCCAGTAGTGTAATGTCCTGACTGTCAAGATTAGACCCAGTAGTGTAATGTCCTGACTGTGTCAAGATTAGATCCAGTAGTGTAATGTCCTGACTGTCAAGATTAGACCCAGTAGTGTAATGTCCTGACTGTCAAGATTAGACCCAGTAGTGTAATGTCCTGACTGTGTCAAGATTAGATCCAGTAGTGTAATGTCCTGACTGTCAAGATTAGACCCAGTAGTGTAATGTCCTGACTGTGTCAAGATTAGACCCAGTAGTGTAATGTCCTGACTGTGTCAAGATTAGATCCAGTAGTGTAATGTCCTGACTGTGTCAAGATTAGACCCAGTAGTGTAATGTCCTGACTGTGTCAAGATTAGATCCAGTAGTGTAATGTCCTGACTGTGTCAAGATTAGACCCAGTAGTGTAATATCCTGACTGTGTCTGTCAAGATTAGACCCAGTAGTGTAATGTCCTGACTGTGTCAAGATTAGATCCAGTAGTGTAATATCCTGACTGTGTCTGTCAAGATTAGACCCAGAAGTGTAATGTCCTGACTGTGTCTGTCAAGATTAGACCCAGAAGTGTAATATCCTGACTGTGTCTGTCAAGATTAGACCCAGAAGTGTAATGTCCTGACTGTGTCAAGATTAGACCCAGTAGTGTAATGTCCTGACTGTGTCCTGTGTGAAATAATGACCTACTGATGGCATGTATCATTGTCCTCTTGTGCTGTCATATGTCCTGTTGGATTCGCTCACAGGTCCTCCATTCTGCTCTACAGTCATCTCGGGATTTCTGTTGGATGCCATTGTTTTCTTAATCCATTTGTTTCCTATTTCAGTGCCTGTTTCTCTGACCCACTCCTCATCCCTCCCCAACAAGCATGTCATATGGGGCAACTAATTAGGGATGTTTCCTTCAGTGTCGAAGTGCATCTGCGTGAGAGGCAAGAAACCAACAGTATGCATGTCTGTAAGTCCGATTTGTAAAACAAGTGCGCACACAAAACTCAAGTTCTGGAACATGCCTTAAGTCCATAATTTACAGTCGGTGAAAATGAAAAAGAAAAGACCTGCCTCCTCCCCACCTCATACTCCAGCAAGCATGTTATAAATGTTGACTAATAACGGGTGTCTGTTTCAAAGTCGGAGTGCATCTTCTTGAGAAGTGAGGAACCAACAAATAAGACAGATCTGTGAAATGGATGTGCACTCCAAACTTGAGTTCTGGAACAGGACCAAGGTATGGAAGTGGACAAACAGCAAGATCTTTCCGTCGGAGTTTACGCTTGGTGAACTTGAAGAAGAAGAAATTTAACTGAGTGAACATTTACGCCTAGAAATGACCTACCTGTCTAAATGACTGACCGGCTGCTGACCTGTCCCTCTCTGGTTGTAGTATATCGGAGACCAGGATGACAAGCAGTGGCTGTGTGAGCATAATCTGATGCCACCGACGGGGGGCAAGGCCTACATGCTGTTGCTGGAGGACATCGAGGATCTCAGCCGCACAGATGAATACAGGTCAGTGTTGTTGCCTGCTTTGTTCTTCTGCTTTCTCCCCATGTGGGTTCTGGGCCACCATTGTGGGGAACTATAATAGCTCCACTGCCTGCCTAACATACGAGTCAACTATTTAGGGATGGTTCCTTCAGAGTCACAGAGCATTTGCCTGAGAGGCCAGACACCAACAGTCTGTGTAAAAAATAAGCCGCATCTGCAAAAACAGATGTACATGCAAACTGTACGTTCTGCATAAAGACTTAAGTGCAGAAAGGGATTATTTAAAAAAGAATTTTCTGCCAGAATTTACAGCAGGTGAGTGCACCAAAATTTTTGCTTTCTGTCTGTTTTTTAAAATTGTTGTAATGTCTTATTTTGAATCTTTTCTGTCTGTCTTGCTTTCTTTCTTCTGTTTTTGTTTATTTGTTTGTGTATATATTAATTTCTTGCCTATGTCTTCTTTTCCATTTTCATATGTTTCTTTATTATTATAAATTTTTCCTTTTCTGTCTTTCTTTTTTCTTTCTTGCTTGAATTGCCTTGTAAAATAAAGCAGGGTAAAGGTTTAACAAAATGTGCTGATACAGGAAATTGTTTAATGACACTGTGAGCTTCCCTGAAGGCTGCAGTGGGGGATGCATGTGTTTCTCTGTGACTCTGAGAGCTATGCCGGTGGCAGTGTAGCTACCAGCAGGAGAGGTCACAGGGTAGAGAGCAAAGAGAGACAGCCTGATCCTCCATGAAACATATTTAAGCCTAGAACTAATTAAAAGCATTGTGATGGCTGGGGCACAAAGAGAGACAGCCCGATCCTCCAGGTTGGGTGTTGAAGCGTGGCCAGTACATCCATGAAACATATTAAAGCCTAGAACTAATTAAAAGCATTGTGATGGCTGGGGCACAAAGAGAGAATGGCAGATGACAGAAACTGTGTACACATAAGCATTAAATAGACCATGAGGCAGACCAAGAACATGGGGAGAGATAACGTCCAATCAGACCTGCAAACACTCGGGGTCATCAGCTAGAAAGAGAAGGCCATTCGCAGAGATGAATGGATGTGCAGTGTTGAACCTTAAGGGCTTGCAATGCTGAGGATGAGGAAGAAGACATAATGGGTATAAATGATGTGAGAATGGGTGGTGTAGTGGCTAGATGCTTTCCTGCGAATCCGAAGGTCATGGGTTCAAGTCCTGCCGGAGCCAGACCTTTAAAAAAAAAAAGACTTTGCCTCTCAAGTTGACACAGCCTTAAATGGGTACAAGGCAATGTCCTGGGAAGTAAAAGCAGCTGACATGATATTGACCACATCACCCACCATGTTCTGATTGGTCTATAAAATACAGGTCTAGCCCTATATGCCCAATATGCCTGGAGGTGTGGAAAGGGGTCCTTTAGTATATAGTAGTGTGACGTGACACATAATTGTTGTGTTCTGGCGCAGTTGTGGGTGTAACAATGACATGACACATAATTGTTGTGTTCTGAGGCAGTTGTGGGTGTAACAATATAACATATTTGTTGTGTTCTGACACAGTTGTGGGTGTCTTCTTCTTCTTCGATCCTTCTGTCAGAAAACTTATATCAGGAGGCCGGTAGCCTTTATGAAAGCTATCGTGCAATCCATATCCTCTCGTGTACCATACAGTTTTGTCTTCAGTGTGGTTGGAACAGGCCAGATTGCGTCTCTGTTGTCAGCATACAGTTGACAGTGTTGGAGCACATGCTCAGCATTTTCGGGTGCCACGCTGCAGGGACACGTCTCCGTATTGCCTACACCAAAAAATTTGAACATATGTTGACGACATCTGTTGTGCCCAGTCCTTAGTCTGAATATAATACACTGTCCCTCTCTAGAGAGGCGATGAAGTGAGTCTTGGGGAGAAAATCTGGTGTGGGTATCCAGCCACCTTTCTTGGATACTAGCTTGTATTAGTGTTTTCATCTCTTGGTGGGTCAAGTCGCTATTTGGTTGTACCATGTCACTGCCGCTTCTGGCCAATCTGTCCGCTATTTCATTGCCTTCCAAGCCACAGTTACCTGGAATCCACTGCAGTACAGATTGTTCTACTGAAGAGCCTAAGCAAATCAGCTGTTGCGTCAAGTGTACAAACTGAGTGTCTTTTGGGTTAACAATTGCTTGTAGAACTGACATAGCATCAGTCAGAAAGACCACTCTGCTATATTTGCTGTGCTGTTGTCCATTCAGGAAAGAACATGCCGCTAGAAGTGCTTCTGCCTCTGCTCTATAATTGGAGGAATATGAACCTGTTGGTACAACCTGGTTGAGTTTTAAACCATTTGGGCATTCTATGTATATTCCTCCTCCTCAGTCTCTTACTGCTCTCTTGGCTGAGCCATCTGTATACACTCGAATCCAACTCTGGTGTGGATAAAGTCTATTGATCTCTCCTTCTGTAGTTGATTTCATATCAGTGCTGCTCATTGATGATTTGGAGGAGACCCCTGTTACAGTGGTTCTGACTGTTGGTAGGCTATCCCTAAGCCAAGCGGGGCAGTCGTCGTAAGGTTTAAGTGGAACATTTGGTATTATGGGAGGGAGTTTAAGGACAGCGAGCTTGGCATTTGCGTTCTTGATAAAACAGGTTCTCTTTAGTCTAGCCTTCTGGGGTTTCTGCAGTCGGCTGTACATGGGTTGTTCTTGAAAGTGGTTGTATTTGGAGAGCTGGGTGAGGAGCTTTGTGTCTCTCCTATCTTCCAGATTATGGAGACCAGTAATTGTTTCCATATCTGATATTGGCGTGGAGCGCATTGCCCCTGTCATAATACGGAGCGCATGGTTTTGGATCTTTGAGACTTTCTGAAAATTTGATTTAGCAGCTGTGCCCCAAGCAGCTATTCCATATTCTAGTGTTGGCCTCACATAGCCTGTATAGGTCCTCTTAAGGACATTGAGGTTTGCCCCCCAGTCTGTTCCAGCTAACTTCCTCATCAGTTGTGTTCTCTTGAGTCCCTTGCTCTGTGTCTTTTCTATCTGTTTTCTCCATGTGAGTCTTGGGTCAAAGGTTACTCCTAAATATGACGGTGAGTCATCATGTATCAGTGCCTGGCTGCCATATCTAAGTGAAACTTTCTGGGGTTTGGTAGAGAGACTGAAAATGGTGTGTGTGGTTTTGGCCCCATTTACAGGCATGTACCAGCTATTGGACCACCTCTCTAGAGTTCCGAGGGATTCTTGAAGCCTTGTCTGTGCTTTTTCAGTGTCCTCCTCTGAACTCAGTAGCGCCAGATCATCGGCATACATAACGGCTTGAACTCCATTACAGAGGGTTGATTTTATGTCGTTAATGTAAACTAGAAAAAGAATTGGGGACAGAACTCCGCCTTGTGGAACTCCATGTTTCATTGAGACTGATCTGCTCCTTGAACCCTGTATCTTGACTCTTGCAGATCGATTTTCAAGATATTTTACGATCCACCCAAGCATGTAATGGGATATTCCACTTTCAAGTAGCTTTTGTTTCAGCCCATTTTTCCACACTTTGTCGAAGGCCTTTTCCATATCCACCCAGACTGCAATAGTGTGCTTTTTTTCCTGGAATGCATCTTCAATGTGTTGAGCAATAAATGTAATTTGGTCTTCTGTTGATCTACAACATCTAAAACCTGCCTGTTCCTCCATTAGTTTGAAGTTTTTCTCTAGGAACCAGGTCAGTCGGTTGTTCAATAATCTTTCAAATAGTTTGCACAGACAGCTAGTGAGGCTGATGGGTCTGTAGCTGTCTGCGTTGTTCTTCGGCTTTCCTTGTTTCAGGATTACGAAGATTTCAGACTTCCTCCAGGCTGGAGGAACTATACTAAAAATCCAGCTGGCATTAAAGATGTTTAATAATTTCTTTTTGGCACTTGGACCCATGTGTAGTAACATATCATTCGTGATTTTATCGGGGCCACGGGCTTGGTTGGATTTCAGCTGGTTAAGTCCTGTGTTAAGTTCACTCATTGAGAATTTATCTGTCTGATGCTCTCTGCTTGTTTACTCTTGCTGGCCTCCTCGAGTTCTTTAATTCTTTGTACTACCTCATCTTCTCTGGACTTTTCTATATTAATATCACTAACAGATTTAAACTGATTTAAAAGGATATTTGCAGCATCGTTTCCAGATCTGATCTCATTGCCCTCATTTATTACTATTGGATTGGCTTGTTGGGCTTCTCCATTTAGGCACTTGACTAGTTTCCAGAGTTTGGACCCATCTTTTTCAAAACTTAGGCTCTTGGTTTTGTCTTGCCAGCTCTTCCTAGTTGCTTGGATTGTTTCTTTTTTTAGCTTAGCTTCTGCTGCTTTGTACGCAATGTTGTTTTCTACCGTTGGGTTGCTTTCTACTCTATCTCTTGCTTCTGAGAGAGTTTGGTGGAGGTCTTGAATTTGTTGGGACCAAAATGGGATGTAATCTTTCCTTGAACCTCGAGGTATGGTTTCTTTGGCTGCTTTTAATATAGCTTCTGAAAACTCTTTTACTGATTTAGCAACCTGACTTGATTTGCCGTTTACATTTATCGAGTATACATCAGCAAGGGTAGCAAAACTGTTCCAGTCAGCTTTCTTGTAATTCCAACAAGGGGGCGGCATCGAATGAAGACCTCTCATATTTAGAACAGAAATCAGGATCGGTCGGTGGTCACTACCTGCTAGTTGGCTGAGCACCGTTTTGTGTATGTTGCTTGCCAAGTCTAACGTGGCAAATGTTAAGTCTGGGCGGCTGGTTGAAAGCCATCTCCTGGAGAAAAAAGATGGGGAGTCATCTGGTTTGTTGATTAGCTGGAGTCTGGCATATGTCTGCCAGTCCTCCACTTGTAACAATGACATGACATAATTGTTGTCTTCTGAGACAGTTGTGGGTGTAACAATGACATGACACATATTTATTGTTTTCTGAGGCGGTTGTGGATGTAACAATGTATACAGCTGAATGTAATATATTTATGTGGTGATCTGAAACAGGGACAGTCCAGCCCTGATGATGCACGAGTGTGTGGGTTTCACAGTGCCTGAGTGGATGCTGGTGAAGATCAAAGATCAGATGGGTGCCTTGAGGTCAGACTCCAGTAAGAGAAGCCTGTCCCATTCTCCTGCAAGTGTGAGTACACCTGTTGTATAGTAGTTTGTGTCAGTGCCAGTTGGTCATCTTTATAATAGTATACATGACAGTACATGCAGGCAGTTTGTATAGTAGCTCAGTGCAGTGCTGGTTATTATTTGTTGATATTTGTAGTAAATCAGATTTATCAAATGGCTCTGGGGTGTGACCAGAAGAGATCAAAGCAGAAATGAGGTCATTAGAGAGCAAGTCGGCGCAAAACAAATCTACAACATGGCTGGGAATGAGTTTGTTGAGGGCCTTTACTCTGTTAGGAGTTGAAAGGTAAAAGAAGAAGAATAAAATGTGTTTTCTTGTGTTTCAGGAATTTGCGGAGTTTACTCAGCCAAAAGTGTTGCCATTTACTGCTTTTACAGACACTGGTATCAAAGATGAGGCAGGGGTATGTAGTCTGGTTTGTTCATTTCATTGACATTGTATGCCGACAGTGAAGGATGAAACTCATCCAGTTAGTAACCTTGGAAATTAGATGTTTCATCTCCACATGGGTTCTTAGGTTTCAGTTTTTAGGACACACGAATAGACTCATTCCAACTCCCCTCCCCACCCCACCCCCATATCATATTGTAAAAGCGAATAATTAGGAATATTTACTTCACATTCGGAGTGCATCTTCTGCTTAAGAGGCAAGGAACTAATCATCTTTAGGCAAATAAGCCAGATCTGTATTATGGGTACGCACACAAAACTCGTTCTAGAACCAGCCGATGGAGATTAAGACTAGATTGATGAGGTTTCCTTCACACGTGTGGGCTGGATGAGATTAAACCTAAGATGGGGAGGTTTCCTCAAAAGTGGGCTGGATGAGATTAAACCTAAGTTGGGGAGGTTTCCTCATCATATGTAGGCTGGATGAGATTAAACCTAAGTTGGGGAGGTTTCCTCATCATATGTGGGCTGGATGAGATAAACCTAAGTTGGGGAGGTTTCCTCATCATATGTGGGCTGGCTGAGATTAAACCTAAGTTGGGGAGGTTTCCTCGTCATATGTGGGCTGGCTGAGATTAAGCCTGGGATGGCAAGTGCTACAATATTCTTGATTAATTTTGATTGTAGCTGGTGAATAAATTGTGAACACTGTTGTGTCAAATATTTCTGAGGCCTCACAAAATTGTTTGTCTTCTTTACAAAACAAAATAATTAAAAAAACACTGCTGGAACTGCCTACACAGTTTCATCATACCCTTGAGTTTCCGGCCCCTGGCATTTCCTGGGATATTCATTTTCCCATTCCCATGTGTCCCACCAGTCTATTGGCTGGACATCGACCCGGCTGCTTCTAGATTCAAAGATAAACTGATACTGTGTATTTGTGTAGTATTGTTTAATCTGTGTATGTGCTGAAGTAGGCTCCATAGCCACAATGTTCATATTTTGTTTGTGTTTGTTATATTGTGAAGCTTTCTGGTATACTTTTCGTTCGTGTTTATATCTTTCCTTGATATGCTTATTTCCAGGCATCACCAGTCGACACAGAAGAAATGGATTTTCTGTCTACAGCCGAAAACGATGACACGCAACACTCATCAGGAATCTCCCCATTTACCGTCACGGGTGGCTTTGAAGATGGCGTCTCACCTTCACCTTCTGAACTCGACCCAGTAGAAGATCAGACTCCGGTATCAAGTTTGTTCTCATAGCCACAAGAAATGGAAACTCAGCTAGAGTTTCAGCCACATAGCAACAACCTATTTTAGCAGGAACCTGTTCTCATTCCAGCCATATAACCTATTTCTGCGTAGTCTTTGTACTTATCTGTACAAACACATTTTTGGTGACTTTGTTTCTGTTTGTTGATGTCATCGTAACATAGTCTTCATGGCAGTTGAGCTAGACAATTGAGAATGTAAAAACAAAATTACATGTAGTTATAATGGACACTTCTCCTATACCTTTGTGGGTGTATTCTGTCCACGGTACTAGCACCTCATATTGTTATAGATTAATCAAGGAAAAGATTTTCTTCTAAGCGTTCGGTTTCATATGCCGAATAAGATGGCCGAGTGGGCAGCTTCTGTGAATCTGCATTTTAATTGCAGGTCCTCTATAGTTCCCCACAGCTTGCTCTGCACACTTCGCTCTTGAGGCCAGGTTTCTCTTTGTAGTTGTAAGTATTGGGTAGATGAAACTCTGGATACAAACAAGAATTCAAGTAACAGATCAGTTTAATTATGTAGATAAGTAATCTTGATGGTTGAGGAAATACTAAGAGAGAAAACATGACACACACTGGCAAGGCATCAGCAGCTTGTCATTGCTTGAACAAAACATGGAACTCTAAATTGTGTGGTTTGAGAACCAAGTTACATAAGGTATTTATTAGAAATATTGTGAGGTAGTCTTGATCAGGGGGAACCCACCCCCAATGGCTTAAGTATATATATATATAAATATATATAATAGGATTGCTTATATATAGGAAACTGAATCGGCTTATGAAGAATCCATTGCACTGCACTCGGGCTGATCTCGTGGGTGCTCATTCTCTCCCAGCACACATTCAGTGGTGGGGATGGATACTGATTGTCAATGTTGAAAGGCTATATATACATAAATATATATATATATATATATATATATATATATATATATATATATATATGAGTGTTTTTGTTCTGTTTGGTTTGTCTTAGAAAGGCTGTTAGCTGTGTTGGTTTGTTAACACAGAAACTGAGATATGTGTGCCTCCCTGCCACCACTTCCATCTTCAGCATGATGTTTTTGGGACCAGGTCTGCTTCGCATTGTTCATCCCTTCTCTCCCAGCAGACAGACGGCTCAGTGTAGCTAGCCTGTTCCAGAGCCACTGTTTGGATGTGTGCTAGGGTCTTGCTTGTCTTGAGTTGACTGCCTCTTTTTTAAGCAGTTTTGCCATAAATTAATGCCTGTATTCAACTTTCCCCCTGCTGTGTTTTCCTCATATATATAAATTAAAAATCTTTTGTATGTAACAAAATAATGATTGTTTTATATTTAAGAAACAAAGAGCTTTTATTTGTATTTTTTGTTTGTTTGTGAAATGACACTCAACACGCAAGTATCTGCTGTACAGTTTGCCAGTTTTACCCACAGTTCAGATTGCCTCCTGTAACGTTGTCTTGTTTGCCATATACCTTGTTTTGCTGTTTAACATTTGTCTGTATCATTTAACCTGTTTGTCACTGACATTTTTGCCAATCTGCTCACATTTGTACCAATCATTTCTACCCTAGTATCGACATATTCCATGTAATTTATTATGTAACTACTGCTATACATACAACATATTTTTCTGCTGTTTATGTTTGCTCTGGTTGTTGAGTCGGATGTTATTTGCATTGTTGAAGACTGACACCTTGTTATGGAACCAGTGATTGGGTTGATGATTCCTGCAGAAGTCTATGTTAAGGCTTCACACACTACACAAGTGTGCATGAACAGATATACGCACTACACATAATGTGTACGTAAAAGTACACACACATGTGCATGACAAGAATGTGTTTGTACCCCATGTTGAAAGATATTGCTCAAGATGATCCTAAAGATGGATAATTGGTGACATGCAATTGACAGTGAGAGAAAAACAAGCCGGCTGTCACTGTTCTTCTTATTCCGAACCTTGAAGTTCTGTCTTTTATTTCCTGAAGGAACTTTTGCACACCAAGCCCCTTGAAGACTTTTTAGAGATTTTCAGTTTGATTTTCTATGAAATAGAACCTAAAAACACAGGGAGGAAGGAACTAGGGGGTAGAATAACAATGATGGGAAGAATGTCGAGTGAACTACAAAGGATAGAACGACCTGGCATGAGTTTGATGGGGGCCTATGCTTCGTTGATGGAATAAAGGGCAGAAGATGAAGATCTGCTTAATTGCACCGGGTTTTATCCCTTACCTCTCCAGCTCTCTCTTTTCAAAGTAGCTTTCACATTGAGCATGACTTCTGTAGCTCCAGTGACAGCTCTAGTTGATCTCTGAAACGCATGCACTGACAAGCTGAAGGAGAAAGACTCAAGCTGGAGCCGTGACTTTTAGAGTGCCAGACACGTGACTTGACTATTTTGCCTCGGAGACCTGTCAACTATTGACAGAGACCACTTGTGAATAAATGAAAAGGTGTTTACTGCAATTGATTTACTGTGACGGTAATAGAAGCATACTAAATACATGTGATGGCAACAGTGATTCTAAATTCCCATTCTCTGATTTATGCTACACTGTTCCTGTAGCACACCGGTTGTACACACGTCGTTCTCTTCCTTAATTCCTCGTTCACACATTCTTGCACATGTTATTTTATTTAATCTCGTGTCTTCTGTCAACATTCGTTCATATACGGTCTTCATAATGTCTCTCTTGTCCAGATCAAGTGTTCCCGTAGCTTTTGCTTTTGTAGTCAGAAAATACGCTCTTTCGTTTCCTTTCACTCCTGCATATCCCGGACAGTATATCTACGTGGTTCCCTGCAGTGTTAGCATACTGATGAATTCTCTAATTTTGGTAGACTTTCTGACTTGCTAGAGAGACCCACCCACCACTGTGGGCTGTGATTCCCATACCTCCCTGCAGCACAATATAAAACTATTATCTGGGAAGATAGCAAGATGCCGACAAACATTGAGATGGTTTTAACATACACTGAGGCAACAGCCGGAAGTAGCATACAAAAGGTGGAAGGCTTAACATGTGGAAGAGAGACGATACTCCATTGGGAGGGGAATGACGGAAGAAGACATAATTACTGTACAGGTAAATACTTCTTCTTCTGTTGTCCTACTGCTTATGCCGTGAAGCGTAGCTTGTGTTAATGTCATAATGTGTTTCTGTAGTGTCTCGGTTACTCACTCCAACTATATACAATGCATATACATTTCAAGCATAATTACTGTTGTTCCTTTCCAACAAACAATCATATCATATCATGTTTCAGCTGCAAAGCGAGGATGAAGTTGTCATAGAATTAAAAGATGCAGCATAATAATGTGTTTCACTCTAAACAGCCAGCAGGGTAATCGAGCCCTGGTACATGTTCACTAACCTCCGAGCAACAGAAACACATGTCCAGCACTGGTGAGGAACACCATGAGTGTATGCCAGAGTCCCAGGTGTTGGAGATATTCATTTGGGAATTGATTTTCAACTTTGGATGTTTTAGCTTGAACAGGGGCTTGGTCAGCCCCCCAACTGCTTGGTGATGTGATTTACACAGGATCTCTGAAATGTTATGTTGCTTGAAGAAGTCTGGATATGTTAGCTACTTCAGTCCATGCAGTAAATGATACCATGTCTACCCCTTTAAAAAATATTGAAAAAATCCCTTGAAAAACTATTGAGAAGTCCTTGAAAAATTATTGAAAACCCCTTGAAAATATGTTGAAAAACTATTGAAAGCCCCTTGGAAAAACTATTGAAAACCCCTTGAAAAACTTAAAAACCCCTTGAAAAACTATTGAAAACCCCTTGAAAAGTTTGGTACATTTGACTATGAACCCTGATAGTAGTCTCTGAACTACTGTTTCCCTTATGCCTAATAAATTTGCTACTTATATATATATATATATATGAGGCTGTGAAATAGTTCACACTGCATCCATATCACATTAGGTCCCATTTCACAGAATGTGTCAAGGACACTAAATAGTACATAACTATGTGTATGGTATCCTGTCTATATATAAAGCACACTTCTTGATTGAACCTGTTATTTGTCTGTGTATAGCATCTGATGTCTATCTTTCCAGATTTAACTCCAAAATTTTGATCTCTCTAGCAGTTTTTATGTTTATCTGTTTTGATTGCGGGAAAAAAGCATAATGACTTAAATAAATGAGTCTTTCATTGTGCAGCTATTGTGTCAAATCAAATATGTTTATGTTGTTACGGGACTGGTGAGTCAGTCTAGATCCTATGACCAAGTCTTGGTTAACTACATCAGTTTTGATGTTCATAATGCAATGTTGTATATAAATTAGAGATTTAGTTGTAGCTTTAATGGTACACAAAAATTATGTTGTCAGGTGATAGACAAATATACAGCCAGTGTGGATTCAAGAGTTACGGTGACGTCTGCTCAGTTGTCAAGATAATTAACTCGTGAAGCATGCAGAAAAAGGTGGAGATGAAATTCTTTGTGCAGCGTGGCGTGCATGACTTCAGAGGCCCTCATTGTTTAGCAGCCTTTGGATGTTTTCTCCTGATACATACACGTGTGTTGGGAAATGAACAGGCAGAGAGATTGGCTGGTGCTGCACCACTGGTTGGTGAATTGATGCATGATAAGCCAGATGTGGTGAAGGCCCTTTGGGAGCAAGGAAACAATGTGGAAGCGTGAATAGATTGTTATGCTGTGAGCGAATGGTACAGCTGGGTTACCAGGAGAATCTGGCCGACGCTTTACACTCAGAGGAAAACCAAGATGGACATATATTCAAACTGCTATTGGTACCTTCAAAATTGGCTGCTAAGGATAAGGACAGCGCATGTATGAGAATGTCCGGAGTGCTGCGATGTGGATTCCTAACTAAACTTAACTGTCAAGACATGATGATTCAGTAGTTTTAGAATTACATCAGAATGTGAGGGTAAAGTTAAAACTGTAAAATATGATTATACAGAGGAAAAGAATGAATTGTAAAGGTGACTTGGAAGAAGAAGAAAATA